GGGTCCAAAAGTTTTAATGAACGATCACATAGTTACAGCAAGGCAACATTTTGGAGTCTCGCAGGACCCCTTCATCAGGCATGTGATGAAGGGTCGTGCAAGACTCCAAAACGTTGCCTTGCTGTAACTATGTGATCGTTCATTAAAACGTTTGGACCCATATTGGTGATCCTTTGTGTGCTGGTGACATTCTCCCTTGCAGATTCTGTTCAGTTCCAGCCAACGGTCGCTGTAGCACCCACTTATACACACAGCTATTTTTTTTTTTGTAAATAACTTTTTATTGATTTGCAAACATTTACAACAAACAAGTCGCATAGATAAACATAAAGTAAAAGAAGAAAAAGAGAGAAAGCTGAAAAACAGGCTCATCGATGAGAGGTGCATAAGTACATACAATATCAATACAGATCAGTGAAATGGCAATCAATCACAAACAATCTGAGCAGACATGTCAGTGTTATAAGTGTCCCATGGGTCCCAAACTGCCTCAAACGCAGGAACAGAATCAGCGTGTAAAGCAGTTAGGTACTTCATCCTTCTAATCTCTGCTATACCCTTCATCAATTCCAGCAACGTGGGGGGTATAGAAGAAAGCCAGTGTATGGGAATGGTTCTTCTGGCTGCTGTTAAAATGTGAGTGGAAAGTTTCTGTGCATATTTGGAGAGGCCCGAAAAACGTAGGCCCCCGCAAAAAGTAAATGAACTCAAAAGGGACAGGAGCCTGCAAAAGTAACCGCAATAGGATAAGGACCTCTCTCCAAAATGACGCAATGGACCAGCAATCCCAGAAAATGTGGAAAAGAGTGCCAGTTTCCTTGCCACAATGCCAGCAGACAGAAGAAACATTTGGGTTACGAGCATGGAGAACCTCAGGGGTCCTTTACCAAAACATCAGGATTTTATAAGTATTTTCTTTATATTCTACACATATAGAAGATTTAGAGGCGACTTCCCAAATCCTGTTCCATTGATCCAAACCAATATCGCATTGGAGGAATCGGGGGCCATTTATGCATATAAAGGTGAGTATCAATAGAAAGGGGGCAGGACTCTAAAAGCAGTTTATATGCAGAGGAAATTATACCCCTTTGGTATGGGCCTTGGATGCAGATACTCTTAAAAGGGGTAGGCTCAGAGAAGAGGCTTTGCAGGAGAAAAAAGAATTACATATCTGATAAACAAAATTTCTGGTGGGTTGGCATATGAGTGACTTTTTGAATGTCAGGGAAGGATTTAAGCTTGCGAGTTGCTGGATTGACCAAATGTCGCAATTGGAATAGGTTAGCCTCGGCCCAATGGCGCACACGAGCCATGGCCAGACTATCCAAGAGGCTTGGATTAAAAATTACATTGGTCATGGGGGAACACTTGGAGCCTACACCTCCTCCATATAGATAACGTGAACTGCATGGGTCCCAGTAGGAAACGTTTGTAAGAGGAGATGTCAGCGTTTTGTTATGCCAGATGAAATGGAGAAACGACTTCTGAAGATTTGGGCATGGGGATAGGGACAGGAAGTGTCTCAAACAGATACAGAAGCTTGGGCAATATAGTCATTTTCAGTATGTTGATCCATCCAAGGAAAGAAATGGGAAGGGTGTCCCAGGATTATAAGGATTGGGAAATTGCATGGAACAGAGGAGGGAAGTTAGCAGCATAAATTGAGTGATATGAGGAAGTAAGGTTGGTACCCAAATATTTCAGGGAGTGAGGACACCACCTGTAAGGATAGTTTAACTGAAGGGAGGATAGGACTGTAGGTGAGATATGGAGTGGTAGTGCTTCAGTTTTAAACGCATTAACTTTATATCCTGGCAAGGCACCAAAGAGTTGTAAAGTACGGTGCAAAACAGGTAAGGAAGTATGGGGCTCCATCAGTGTCAGCAAGATACCATCAGCGAACAGGGACAATTTAAAATCACAGTCATGAGTGCGTATCCCCTGTATATCCGGGTTGGATCTAATGGCGATGGCCAGGGGTTCCAAACAGAGGATAAACAGCAGAGGGTAAGGCAGGCATCCCTGGCGCGTACCGTTTGACATTATGCTAATTTGAACTGGGAGGTAGGGGTGGAATATAAAGCTTTCAGGGCTGCCATAAATGGGCCACTAAACCCAAATCTCTCCAGGACCAGAAACATATAAGGCCAGCTAAGTCGGTCAAATGCTTTTTGGGTGTCCAAGCTCAACAAGAGAGCGGGAGTCAAGGACTTATTAACAAGATTGATCAAATCGATAGTCCTCCTTGTGTTATCTGCGGCATCTCTAGCCGGTACAAAACCCACCTAGTCTCTGTGTATAAGTTTGGATATACATCTGGCCAACCTATTAGCCAATATTTTTGTGAATATCTTGTAGTCAGAGTTTAATAAAGCTATAGGGCGGTAGTTATCCGGGAGGGAGAGGTCCTTGTCTGGCTTAGGAATCACCGAGATGTATGCATGTGTAAAATCATCATACGGGGAAAACCTTTCAAAAGATCTTGGAACAAGGACAGAAGATGGGGGGGCCAGGGTGCCTATAAAAGTCTTGTAGTACGAGTAAGGAAAACCATCCGGCCCTGGAGATTTGTGTCTAGGGAGGTGTTTGACAACATCTAGTAATTATTCAGGGGAGATGTCCTCATTTAGAGACAAGACATCGGTTGGTGACAAACCTGGAAGACGCAAGGGTTCGAAGAAAGCGTCAAAAGCTGCCTTCTGGAGGTTGGGGGGGGGGGGGGAATCAGGCATGCAATGTGGTTTGTTAGAGAATTCATAGAATTTCTGCTTAGCCCAGGCAAGGGACTGGGCAGTTTTATGGAGATCAAGGGCTTTGATTTGGTGGCGTAGGTGGGCTACTTTCTGAAGCCGAGCGATAGACTGTTTGTTTAGGAACCGTCCTTCAGCTAAAGACAGTTGTCTTAAAAGAGATTGTCTGGTGCTTACCGAGGTCTTCTTCAAACGAGCGCCCATAGAGATATAAAGTCCTCTAAAGACAGCCTTGCGATCCTCCCAAAGGGTTGAAGAGGAGGCAATTAAACCAATATTGCACTGGAAATATGCATCCAGCCCCTGAGAGAGTTCCTCTCGAAGGTGGTCTGAGTGCAGAAAACTCTCATTGAGGCACCGTGACAGACTTTAGGGGGGGAGGTAGGGAAAAGAAGATTAAGCGCTAGAAAAGCATGATCTGACCAAGTCATAGGGTTGATCTTGGAAGAAACCAAAAAGGTGAGCAGGAGGGCGGTGACAAAAAAATTATCCAATCGCGAGAATACGCGATGTGGAGTAGAGTAAAATGTGAACTGTCTATGGAGAGGATGCCTAACCCGCCAGGCGTCAAAAAGGCAATGCTCCCATATCAGTTTATAGAAAGTTTTTGAAGAGGAGCATTGCCTTTTCGAGGGAGTAGATGCAAAGAGAACCTTCCTATCCTTGTGAGCAGACATAATCAAGTTAAGATCTCCTCCGAAAATCATGTGTAGGGTGGATAGCAAATATAGTTTATCTAGCGTTTGAGAGAGAAATGTCAGCTTACCAGAATTAGGTGCATACAGGTTCAAAAGGACAAGTGGGGATCCCTCGTACATACATTCCAATAAAACGTAGCGACCCAGTGGGTCAACCCTGGAGGAGGGAGACCCATAGGGAGCAGTTTTTCTGAATCAATATAACCACTCTGGCTTTCCCGGAGGGGTCAGAAGATGAATATGACTGTGAAAAGTTCTTAGAAGCTAAAGGAAAAGAGCCTTCCTGTTTAAAATGGGTTTCCTGAACAAATATAATATCTAATATCGAACACACAGCCATTTTTAACACAGGAACAGTGCGCTTGGATTGCACACTTGCAGGCAGATGTAAAGGGCGCTGCCCATGAAATGGTTTAATATAGTACAATCATATGTGTTTTTCAGTGCATTGCACTGGGATGGAGACCTCCTCATTTCATTGAGAAAGTTTAAAACTTAAGATGCCCTCCCACCCCTCCTAACGTGACACATCCCATCTGTCAGCCTCTGAAAGTCCAAAACAACACATGTTGGAGAGAGCAGAGACGGGGAGGAGAAGCAGAGGGAGATTGTTTTTATCCATAATGTAAACTAAATTCGCATAAACATTATTGTTTATCCAGGAGATCCACTTCTCTCCCAAGTCTGAGCTCAGTGATGGCTTCCCCGGCGCCTGCAATGAAATCACTGAGCAAAACTTCCATGCATCAACCCCAAAGTGTAAGCAACAGGACTCTATTCACCTGCATGCCGGAACACAGAGCCAGACTTGTGTTTCTAATGTGTATAATGTAACATCAGGCTTCATTTAGCAAACAATTATTCACCCTGGTTTTGAGCAGCGGTTTTGAGTAGTTTGAAGCCTAATTACCACACAGCGATCATGAACTGAACTTAAACAAGATAAATATCTTCTTCAATAATAATTTAATGGTGAAAGCCAGGCAAAAAGCTAAATACACAGTTGAATTGCATTTATTTGAGGTGCCTTACTTGCACAAAGATTTGTACAGTATTTCTGTTTATCCGGTCTTGAGACCTAGACTTCCCCACCAGACAAAATAGTTAGTATGGTGACCTCACCTATCTCTTCTGCAGTTAGGTAATGCAGTTTGGTCACCAGTCCATTACCAGCCTACTAACTAGACTATAAAGGGCTAGAAAAACACTGATGAGGTAATTTGGCTTTTCTTTCTTTCTTCAGCATATTCATAGGAAGCTCAAGTAAGAAAATTAAGTAATAGAGCTGTGTCTTTAAGGCGTAAGAGTGCAGGGGTTATGAGTAATAACACAGAGTGCAGAGATCAGTAGCATGTAACACAGAGTGGAGAGATCAATAGTCTGTAACACTGAGTGCAGGGGTCAGCAGTAAGTAACACAGAGTGCGGAGGTCAGTAGTATGTAATGCATAGTGAAGGGTTTAGGACAGGGGCGGACTAACCATTTGGAAACTCGGGCACTGCCCGAGGGCCCGGGGTCAGTAGGAGGCCCCATGAGATGCCCCTGGTACCTTTCATAGGCTTTTTTTAGTTTGGGCAAGGACACAGGGGCCCCATGATCCCCTATTTCCTGGCGGCCCCATGAGTTGTCAGTCCGCCCCTCGTTTAGGACAAATGAAGAATGCAGGGGTCAGTAGTATGTAATGCACAGTTCAGTGGTCAGAAGTAAGTAATGCAACATGTAGGGGTCAGTAGTGAAAACACAGAGTTTAGAGGTCTGTAGTATGTCATGCAAAGTGCAGGGGTTAGTGGTATGTAATGCACAGTGCAGAGGTCAGTACTGTATAACGCACAGTGCAGAGGTCAGTAGTATGTAACATACAGTGAAGAGGTAAGGAGTAACTAAGACACATTTCCCCAACAACCAAAAATAATAACCCTCTTCCAGTACAAACATTTATCCCCAAAGATAAAATCACTCACAGCTCAAGTCCCCCCCACCCCTCCCTGTACAATTTACTCACTAGACCCAGCAAAGTGAGAAAATTTCTGCTAGATCTTGCCTCAACTTTGTTAAATGACACATCCAAGCTGAGGAGGAGCCTAGGGCTTCCCTCAGCTCTGCAATACCTCTTGCTTTTCTTATTTGAGGTCTGAGAGGTGGCAAGTAGGGTCAGCTGGCACATGGAGTTGCGATCTACCCAGCCACGATCAAAAGGTAGATTGCGATTAACCTATGGACTACAGAATGCTACCTTTTGACCTAAAGAACTTCTATCAAGTTTTTACTGCTGTCTGTGACATAACTGGAGAGATTCCCTACTACATCCTCACCTTAGAAAACCAAGAGAAGAAGGGTGGAAACATCTGGGACGGGTTACCAATTTAAACAGCTGCACCAAGATGTGTAGAATGTGCTTAGTGCGTGGGAAGATATTAGAGAATTTGTAGAAAAACTGATCAAGAAAATGCAAGAATATAAAAACTTCAAAGATAATAATCTCACCAGAGTCCGGTCCTGCACCCCAACCCTATAATGTGGCTGCACTCATCACTGGCTCACCATACAATACTGGTGTGACTCAGATTCTAACCCTGAAACTAATTAATGTATACTGGCAAGTTAAACAGAGTCTATCCCCCTGATTGTCAGTCCTTGCATAAACTTACCACACACAAAAAAAAATGTTTTTGTTATTTTTATGCTGGCATTATATCAGGGTGGAAAGAATTGTTCTAACTGGTCCAAGGTAGCCAATAATCTTCCCATTATTTACACAGGCAGGGCCTAGGAATCACTCTTGAACTATGACTCGGGTGAGTATATCAGCAGAATCTCTTGGGGAAGCAAGCTGTCCATCATACTCTGCTTTCTGGACCCATGCCTTACAAACTCACGAAGCAGAACCGTAATTAAAAACTATGCAACCCAAGAGAATCTGCAGCAGCTGTATTCTTTATTACTGATCTCCCGAGTGCAATAGGGTTATTTACTGTTAGTAAAACAACTGAGATTATTACACGCCAATATACATTTAAAAACATCATCATCTTTCTATAGCTGGTCAGAGATATTTATATTCAAAACATAGTTACTATGAAAAGTGAAAGTAACATGTGCATAGACAAAACAAATTATCTCCTGTTAAAACAGGGAACAATGAGTAGCAGCACCAATGTCTGACAACCAATAAGAAATTGGGGTTGATTTTCTAAAACTGGAGAGTGCAAAATCTGGTGCAGCTCTGCATAGGAACCAATCAGCTTCCAGATTTTTTTCCAAAGCTTAATTAAAAGAGCTGAAGTTAGAAGCTGATTGGTTACCATGCACAGCTGCACCAGATGTTACACTGTCCAGTTTTAGTAAATCATGCAGCGAACCAATAATCCACCTAATATTTCCACCCAATCCAACCAAAAACATTTCAGGTCAACAACATTCTGGGTATTCACTACCATTTCAGCTCCCTAAAGACCCTTAAAAAAAAAACATTTTCTGTTCTTTAGTCTTCAAGCAGGTACGGTGACACAAGGGTCCTTCCTTTTCTTCCTCGGTGGCAGCAGGGGACAGTCTTTTCTTTTGGGTAGGGATAAGCTGTCCATTCGGTCCAAACCCATTTTGGAACTAATTTTGCTTGTCTGCAGGTTCAGCGAATGGCTGAATTAAGTGGGGTCCGTGAAGGATGTGGTGTGTAATTTAAGGGGACCCCAAACTTTTTTTGTTTTCTTTTATTGTGTGGGTTTCCCCTTGACACCTATCACAGACCTAACCAATGATAAAGGTCTGGTATGTATTTTAGGGGCCTATTTTTTGTGGGGTCCTCCATTAACATCTATACAAGACCCTCATCTAGGACAAGGGTCTGGTATAGCGATAGAAGGAATTCCCCACTACTTTGTTTACAAACAGAAGGAAGCAGCTGATTGTTGTAATTTACTAGCAATTTAACCACTTGCTGCCTGGTCACAGTAGATTTATTGTAACCGGGTGGTAGCTGCAGGCTCAGCAACATAAATAAATAGGGCATGTGTGCCCTCTGTTTGCTTCGTGGTGATATTTGATCACCTGTGCGTTTTTTATTTTATGCACTATTAAAAAAAAAAGACCAACAATTGTAAGAAAAAACAATATTTTTTACTTTTTGCTATTAAACATGTCCAGTAAAAAAATTTTAAAAAATCAAATTTCGTCATAAATTTAGTCCAAAATGTATTCTGGTACATGTCTTTGCAAAAAAAAATTCCAATATGTGTAAATTAAATGGTTTACGCAATAGTTATGGCATTTAGAAATGGCGGTATATATACGGAATTTTAAAAAAAATTTTTTTTTACTACTAATGGCGGCAATCAGTGACTTATAGTGGGACTGCGGGGACTGCGGCAGGCATTCTGACACTGGGGGGGAACTGACTGTCACTGAAATCTCCATAAACACCAATGCAGTGATCAGTGCTAATAATAAGCACTGATACTGTACTAATGGCACTGGACAGAAAGGGGTTAACATATGGGGCGATCAAAGGGTTAACTGTGTGCTGTGTGCTGTTTTACTATGGGGGCTGTGTGTGTGTTTCACTGTAAGCACACTGCTTTGTATGGCTCTGCTATGCAGAGCCATACAAAGCAGTGTGAAGGAGCTGACAGGGGAGAGATCTGTATCCTCGGAACTCGCCGGGTGCCAGCGGGCAATCAGTGGCTGGGACCTTGTGATTGTCAGCCGTGGCTGCGAATGGTATTTAGTATTTATAGTATGTATGTTTCCCCTTTAGGCATTATTAATGTTTCTGCTCTCAACCAAACAAAAGGTTTAACTTTTTTTTTTTTTGCTTTGGCACATGTTCCCCAGGGTGATACCCATCCTCCCATGCCATTTGTTGGACAATTCCTTGCCTATTAGCTTAAAAAAGGACCATACTGTTTTCTGAGATTCAACTCCCTTTGACTTCGGTGTGGTTCGGATTCATCACCCAATCTTCAGTAATAATCAGCAAACTCTACCTAAACCAAACTCGGGTATATTTGTCTCATCACTTTTCTTGAGCTGAGCAGCTCTCATGTAATAACATGTGAGCACTGATCAGTCTAGAAGTTCTGTGAGTCAAGGCTTCTTCATGATGCTGGCTTAAAAGGCGGTTCCAAGAAAGCCTGGGCTCACAGAAATTCCATGGAATAGTTTCGTATGTCATTCAGTCTGGAAGACAATGGCACATAGTGGTAGAGGTGAAGTACTGCAGGAGGAAGCTCCTGATAGAAGGCAAGTACTGCGACAAAAGCTGTTTTTTATGATTTTAGCAGGTACAAAGGAGCAAATAAAAACAAAAACTCCTGTTTTTAGGCAAATCTGTGTTTTGCCTATTCAGGTTTGTTTTACTCATATGCACCAAACATTTATTTATATTCCATTTACTTTTATTTCATATCTTTCAATGGGACATCAAGCTATGAATGAGCATGGGCCAGGGAATGCTACATACAGTTGTGTTCAAAATAATGGCAGTGTGTTGAAAAAGTGAACAAAGCTCAAAATCCTTCTAATAGCTTTTATTTCCATACACACAAATACATTGGGAACACTACACATTCTATTCCAAATCAAAACATGAAGAAAAATATATAAAATGTGTGTTGTTCCTCTAAAAAAATTGAATAAAAGTGAATATTAGACTGTTCAAAAAAATAGCAGTGTTTGTATTCTTCTTTACAAACTCAAACATTCACTATATAAATTGAAAAATGTTTGAAGATTAATATTTAGTTGTATAAGCACTGTTTCTGAGAACTGCTGTACATCTGTGTTGCATGGAGTCAACCAACTTCTGGCACCTGTGAACATATATTCCAGCCCAGGATGATTGGACTACATTCCACAGTTCCTCTCTATTTCTTGGTTTTGCCTCAGAAACTGCATTTTTGATGTCAACCCACAAGTTTTCTATTGGATTAGGATGCGGGGATTGGGCTGGCCACTCCATAACGTCAATCTTGTTGGTCTGGAACCAAGATGTTGCAGGTTTACTGGTGTGTTTGGGGTCATTGTCTTGTTGGAACACCCATTTCAAGGGCATTTCCTCTTCAGCATAAGGCAGCATGACCTCTTCAAGTATTCTGATGTATTCAAACTGATCCATGATCCCTGGTATGCGATAAATAGGCCCAACACCGTAGTATGAGAAACATCCCCATATCATGATGCTTGCGCAACCATGCTTCACTGTCTTCACAGTGTACTGTGGCTTGAATTCAGTGTTTGGGGATCGTCTGACAAACTGTCTCTGCCCACTAGACCCAAAAAGAACAATCTTACTTTCATCAGTCCACAAAATGTTGCGCCATTTCTCTTTAGGCCAGTCAATGAGCTCTTTGGCAAATTGTAACCTCTTCAGCACATGTCTTTTTTTTAACAGTGGGACTTTGCGGGGGCTTCTTGTAGATATTTTGGCTTCACATAGGCGTCTTCTAATTGTAACAGTACTCACAGGTAACTTTAGACCTTCTTTGATCTTCCTGGAGCTGATTGTTGGCTGAGTCCTTGCCATTTTGGCTATTCTTCTATCCATTCGAATGGTAGTTTTTCGCTTTCTTCCACGTCTTTCAGGTTTTGGTTGCCATTTTAAAGCATTTGCGATCATTTTAGTTGAGCAGCCTATCATTTTCTGCACTTCTTTATATGTTTTCCCCTCTCCAATCAACTTTTTAATCAAGGTACGCTGTTCTTCTGAACAATGTCTGGAACGACCCA